TGATTGTGGTCTGCTTCGCCATGACAGGTTTGACAGTGCCCCGCGCTTCACCGGTCTTCTCATCACCCTCCTCCCCATCCTCACTTTCCGTGGCAAGAGTGTGTGCAATTAGCCGTGGAGCAGACCGCCCCGGGAGAGGTGGGGGCATACGGCTCCGACAAGGGATCCTCAGCATCAGATCCACTCTCCACATGCTCCTCACCCCCCTCTGGGCACCTGGCTAGTCCCCTAGCATTCTTCAGCAAGTACTCAGTTTTCTTGTCACTGGGCTTTACCTTGCCACGCTGGTTGGTCACAAGCTCATCGACAATCTCCCCCGTCCGAAAAGGACACGGTTTCTGTGGCTTCAGGAAATGATGAACCGCCTTGGACGATGAGCCCCTGAAGACGGTGGAGCACAGGCGACACCTGAGCCAATACTCCCCACGGCCTGCCGACAATGCCACTTGTCCCTGTTCAATCCACTGCCACACTGAACTCCTCTTCAGCAGCTTCTGATGTGCGTCGGCATCTTGGGGTTGAAAGAGAGCAGGGTCAGTACGCGGTGTTGCGTCCTTGTTGACGGCCGTTGTAGTTGATTGCACTGTCTTGCTCGAGGAAGGCTTGTCAGCAACATCTGGCACCTGACCTTTCCCCTTGTCTGCATCAGCAGTGCCCCGCCTGCGCCTCGATGCTCCAGCCCCGCCACTGTCGTCACCTGCCATGCTGTTGCCCGCAGTGATGTGGAGGAAAAAAAAAAGATGAAGTGTGGGAGGCTGTGGCTACGGGACACCTTAAGTTTGGCTATGGGGGTGAAGAAGAAGAAGAAGAAGCTGATACGTAAGATGCGGAAAAATAAAAAGAAAAAAAGCTATGGCTGGGTCAGGCTCAGCGGGGAGGGAAGGACAGGAGGAGGGGGAGGAGGTGTAGAAGAAGAAGATAAAGATTTAAGATGACGAAAATAAAACCCTCTGGCTATGGCTCTGGCCCAGCGGGGGACAAAGGAGATGAGGAGGGGGAGGAGGAGGAGGAGAAGAAGAAGAAGAAGAAGAAGAAGAAGAAGAAGAAGAAGAAGAAGAAGAAGAAGAAGTTGAAGAAGAAGAAGAAGAAGAAGAAGAATGATGACAAGGCTTGGCAATGGCTCAGCGGGGCAAAGCAGAGGAGGAGGGGTAGGAGGAGGAGGAGGAGGAGAAGAAGACGAAGAAGAATAAATTAAAGATGGCAAAAAAAAAAGGCTAATGAATCAATAATGATTGACTCTGGCTCAGCAGGGAACAAACGAGATGAGGAGGAGGAGGAGGAGGAGAAGAAGAAGAAGAAGAAGTTAAAGATGGCGAAAAAAAATTGTTATGCCTATTGATCTGGCTCAACGGGGAGGGAAGGCCAGAAGGAGGGGGAGGAGGTGGAGAAGAAGAAAAAGATTTAAGATGAAAAAAAAAAACTTCTGTCCACGGCTATGGATCAATGGGGAACAAAGGAGATGATGAGGAGGAGAAGTAGGAGGAGGAAGAGGAGGAGGAGGAGGAGGAGGAGAAGAAGAAGACGACGACGAAGAAGAAGAAGAAGAAGAAGAAGAAGAAGAAGAAGAAGAAGAAGAAGAAGAAATTAAAGATGGCAAAGAAAAATCGTTATGCCTATGGATCTGGCTCAACGGGGAGGGAAGGACAGGAGGAGGGGGAGGAGTTGGAGGAGAAGAAAAAGATTTACGATGAAAAAAAAAAACTTCTGGCTATGACTATGGCTCAGCGGGGAGCAAAGGAGATGAGGAGGAGAAGAAGTAGGAGGAGGAGAAGACAAACAAGATGGAGAAGAGGAAATTAACGATGGGAAAAAAAAAAAAACACTAACTTTATGCCTATGCCTCAGCCGGGGAGAAGGAGAGGGGTAGACGAAGAAGAAGAAGAAGAAGAAGAAGAATACGAAGAAGAAGAAGAAGAAGAAGAAGAAGAAGAAAAGAGGAGGGGGAGGAGGAGGAAGGGGGAGCAGGACTCTCTCTCTCTCTCTCCCTCCCTCTCCCTCCCTCTCTCTCTCTCTCTCTCTCTTTCTCTCTCTCTCTCTCTCTCTCTCTCTCCCCTCCGCTCCAAGAACCCAACGAATGATGAAGAAGAGGAGGAGGAGGAGGACACAGCGCTGTAGAAGAGGGTGTGGAGAACTCTCTCTCTCTCTCACCCTCTCTCTCTCTCTCTCTCTCTCTCTCTCTCTCTCTCTCCCCCCAAAACCCAGCGAAAGATGACAACGAAGAAGAAGAATGATGGCGGGAGGAAAAGAAGAAACAAGAAGACCAAGGACAAGAATCAAGAAGAAGAACCAAAGAGAACAGGAAGAACAAGAAAAAGAAAGAAGAAGAAGGAGCCGAAGAAGAAGACGAAGAAGAAGAAGACGAAGAAGAAGAAGACGAAGAAAATAAGAAGATGAAGATAAGAAGAAGATGAAGAAAAGAAGAAGACGAAGAAAAGAAGAAGAAGAAGAAAAAAGAAAAAAGAAAACCTAAACTTACCGGTATGGGTATAGCGGTGATGGGGGGCGCGCGGCGTGGCTATGTCAGTGGCGAAGCCGAGGGCGGGCTCATGCGGGGGCAATGGCGGGCTGGCGGGGCTGGAGCTTGAAGTCGACGTCCGCTCGAATGAGCGCGACGTCGACCTCCTCGGCACGTAGCCCATGCAGGCGGGGTCGCGGCGGGCGTGAGCACACGGGCTCGTTTCGAATGGCTACAGGCTGCGTTTCGRATTCGTAACGCAGCTGATTTCGACCGCCTATCTGCAGATCAGCGGCCAAAACCGGCCGCGTTTTCGAATTTGAAAATCGGGGCCTGTAGGACCCCACATTTCGACAAAAGCGTGCGGTGGATCTCCATCGCTGATCTTTGAAGATCAGCGGTGGAGATCCACCGCGTGCTTTTGTCGAAATGCGGGGTCCTACAGGCCCCGATTTTTTTTTGGGGCGGTGGCGGCGGCCTCCCTGAGGCCGGGTGGGCACAGGGACACCTAAAAATCCCCGGTACCCCCCTCCCAGCGCAATGCGCTGGTTCGAACCGGGGGCCTGCCGGTCCAGTGGACCGGCCGGTCCGACCGGGCGGCTCCCGGTCCAAGGAGGCCCCCCCGGTCCATCTGGTGGACCAACACTGAATTTTTTATTATTACTCATTTCGAATTTGAGGGGGATTGGGAGACCTACTGAATTCGCAAAGTTGAGTTTTCTAATTATTGAGTTCTCGAAAATTTTCTTTTTGCATGTGTACGGATCCGGGCCGCCCGGCCGACCAGCGCCCTCTCGGGGGAGGTCCCGGGCGGCC